AATTTTAAAATAAAAAGATTTTTAAAAAAAAGAAGAAAAAAAAAAAAAGAAACTTCCCAATAGTTCACACAGCTACTAAGGCACACAGCCAGGGTTAAAACTCAGCTTGCTGGGGCTCCAAAGTTAATGCGTGTGCCATATGACGACCAACTTCTAGACCCATCAGGGCTCGGATGCTCAGGGCCGAATCTTTTAGGGAGCAAATAAGGTAGCATTTTGTTGTTACTATTCTTTTGCTAACTAATGATCCTTGGACATAACTCTAATACATGGAAAGTGAGTAAGTTTATTTGTAGGTGTTTCTAGAAGATCAGGAGACAGTGCTGAACTCTGATCTCAGAAGGAAAAGGGCAGAAAAACCAATGCTAAGCAGGCAGCTGCCATGCTGTGGCTCTCACGATGGACCTTCACCCACGATGCCCCCCTGCCCCGCCCTTCTGGTAAGTATTATTTGCATACGTGCACGCACACACACTCATTGAGACAGGGCTCTAAGAGGCTAAATAACCCAGCTCTGGTTACACAGCAAGAGGGAAAAGAATTAGAATTCAAAACCAGGTCTGGCTCCAAAGTGAGTGCTCTTTCTACCACCCTCGGCTGCCAGGTGGCGCTGATTCAAATCCCCGGGCACTGTCCCCAAAGACTTCTGCACCTGCTCACCTGGGACCCTTCCTCTCTCACAGTCTTCCACTGGGTGGCCTGGTGTGGGGTTTATAAATAACCAGAATCACATCAGCTTTCTCCCCCTTTGATGGCAGGTAACGAACCTGAAAATCTACATTCCCATCCTCCATCAACTCCACTCCTGGAATAGGCACCGTTGGACAAGCTGCATGTGTAGCAACACAATCCAATAAAAATGAAATGAGGAAAACAACTTTATTTCTTACTACATTTAAGTCTTCCTTATTTGAATTGTGAATACTCCAGTTAAGTCTCCTATAGGGCCTCTCCAGAAATGCATTTTATGGTGAAATATGCCCCCAGGTGACTTGTGTTGGAAACTCTCTGACTTCCTTTCAAAAGCCTGGGTTAAAGAAGCGGGTGATAGGTTTGTGAGAAATTCTAAAGGGCCTCTTAACTTTTCTTTATGCCACTCTCACTCTTGATAGATGACCCATATTGTCAGGTATTCTCTTTTAGGAAATAAAATATCTGCCCCAGGAACCATCTAAATCTTGCCAAAGGGGCAAAAACACCCCCTCTAGTCTATAATATCACGTAATAACATGAGAAATGTACTTATGATATAATGTCAAATAACAAAGCAGGATATGAAACTGTATGAATTAGTTTGATCTCAACACACATCCTGAAAACAGTCCAGAGCAGTTATTTTTGAATAATTGGATTAGGAATGCTTAATTTTCTGTTTTAATTTTCAGTTAAGAGAATATATACCTTCTAAAAAGTCAAATAAAATTACTTTAAAAAGAAAACCATTTTTTCAGAAAAGGGCTTAAATATCATTCAGTATTTCCTGAGCACCAAAAAAATCACTGTATGAAATTAAAAACTTTAATACCAGGCACGAAGATTCTTCAAGAAAAGAAAGTTATATGCTAATCATGCTGATGAAAATACATATCAAAATCCTAAGTAAAATACCAAAAAATCAAATCTATACATAGAAAATAAAATATCATGAAAGAGTAATATTTACCTTAGAAATGAAGTCTAGAAAAATCTATCAGTAAAATCCACTGTGATATAAACTGAGAGGAAAAATATGTATAATCATTGAAATAAATATAGAAAGAGCATATGGCAAAATTCAATGTCCAAATTCAGGATTTATTAAAAAACAATAACACTTCCAAAACAATAAATGAAGAAGAAATAATAAAAAAAAAACTCTAGTAAAAATTCAAATATCACAGTTACAGGAAACTTAGAAGCACTTCCATTAATTGAAGATCAAGTTAAGAATACCTCCTATTACTAAATATTGTACTGACAGACCCAGCTAATGCAATAAGACAAGAAAAAGAATTACTTAAGGATCAGAGAGGAAGACATAAACCTACTTATGAGGTTCTATGTTGCCTCCATAGAAAATCAAAGAGGAATTGGAAGAATTAGTAACAAACTTTAGTAATGCTTTATATTCAAGAGTCAAGATCAATAAATAAACTGTTAACATTTCCATTTAAAATTCTACATATTTTGGCTCAGTCAGGAACATTTGCTTAATGGAATACTTATTTTTCCACAGGGAAAACTGAAGAGTAAGAAATAAATTAATCCTGTTAGGAGCACATTCTCTCTCTTTTTGAATGTGGGTATGTGCTTTCATGAGCCAGAGAAGTCGATCAAGAACACATATTGTTTATCACTGTTACATAGCTAAGAACAATTGTAAAATCTTACTTTGGGACAAATCAGCTATATAGTTTTTAAGATCCCTATGGTTCTAGAATGGGTAAGAGAAAACAGTATTATGCTGATGATGAAAATGAAGAGGAGGAGGAGAAGAGCACAGAGGGGCACCTGGGTGGGTTGGCTTAGTCGGTTAATCGGCCACCTTTGGCAGGGTCCTGAGATCAAGTCCCGCATTGGGCTGCCTGCTCATTAGGGAGTCTAATTCTCCCTCTCCCTCTTCCTCCCCACAACTTGTGGTTTCTCTCTGTCTAGCTCAAATAAATAAACAGAATCTTAAAAAAAAAAAAAAAAAAGAAGAAGAATACAGAAATGGGAGAAGAGAAAGAGAAAGGAAGAGAGGAGGGAAATGGAGAGAGAGGACAGGAAGAAAGGAGATAACAAGTATTAAGGAGAGAAGGATAAGGAGAAAAGGGAAGGAAAAAGAGAAAAGGAAGGGGAAAAACACACATAAAGGCTCTTTGTTAGGGCACTTGTGTGGCTCAGTCAAACTCAGGTCACGATCCCAGGGTCCTGATATCACGCCCCAAGTCAGGCTCCCTTCTCAGGGAGAAGCCTGCTTTTCCCTCTCACTCTACCTCTCCCCCTGTTGGTGCTTGCTCCGTCACCCCCCCTCCACTTTCTCTGTGAAATTAATGAATAAAATCTTTTTAAAAAAGGCTCTTTGTTGATCCTTTAATAAATGCCAAGTACTATACTAAGTATTTAATCTGTCTTATCTCAATTATTCTTCATAGTAAGCCTCTGAACTTTAATATAATATCCTTACTTATAGGAGTGAAGACAGATGCTCAGAGAGGTTACGTAACATTCTAAGGTCACACAGTTAGGAGCTGGCATAGCTATAATTTGAATCTAGGTCTGCCTGTCCAGACTCCATGGTACTGGCCACTCACTAGGAGATATTCCTTGCATTATGTATTGAGCTGATTTTAGAGTCCTGTAAGACATGAAGATGAGGAGGTTCTAAAAAGTCACCTTCATACTCCCATCCCAAATCTTCAACTAAGCCAAAGTTCTGAAAACCTGAATCCTCATTTTAGAAAGCTCCTGGTTTTGCATTTTAAAATTAAGAATGAAAAGATATTCAGTAAGATACAATTTTTAATGCATTAAGCATTCAAGAGCACAAGTTTAGTGGAAAGGTTAAATCTGAAGCAAAAATATAACTTGTCAGTTTTCACTGAAAAAGCATTTGAATTCTAGTGCATTATCATGCTCTGCAATCTTTTTTCTCCATGTAGCAGTTCTCCCAAGACCTGCTCTCTCACTGATTTGCTTTCCTTCTATTATTCTTAGACCATGATGCATGAAATACAAGGTTTACATTAAGTTTTAGCAAATAAAATGGGCTGCTTCCAAAATATTTGTGTTTCAAATAAACATCCAAAGCAACATTTACCATCCTTCCTGAGGTTTTGGCTGTCTGGGAACTGCCTGTGTATTACATTTATGTCCCTTGTTTCCTATAGAGTGTCAGACAAATGCCATCACGAAACATGACGGGGCAGGCACAGCAGTGTCTCAAACGAATCACTGCTTATACAAAGCAACTGAGTGCATCCTGGTTTGCAAGCCCATATTGACAGATTTCAAGACCTGAAAGAGAAGTCTATTAATCGTCCTCCGTGCAGCTCAGAAGATGAGGGAGAGAAAGACAACACACAGCACGAAGTCGCTTACGCCTAATTGCAACCGGGAGACAAACATCCTGAAAGGCATGGTCATAAAGCCATGGGACCCAATTCTCCAGAAAACACGGAGAGGGTGAGAGTTACTTCATTACCATACTATGCATGCCAGTCCTCATTAGTAGGTGTCTATGTGCCCGCTCAGGGTCAAGCACGTTCTAAGTGTTGGAGTTGATGGGTGAATGAGAGGTTTGGCTCTGCAGGAATGCTTGGTCCAGCCGATAAACAAAAAACATGGGAAATTTTGAATAAAGTGAGATTCTAACAAAGTGCTCCTGCAGCAAAACAAACAAAAACAACTAACCCAGTGCGGGGAGGAAGGAAAGACTGACCTGAAGATTAAGTGGGAGCCAGCCTAGAAACAAGCAGGGAATGACAAAAGGATTTTGTGCTAGATTAATTGTCCAGGGGTTCCCAAAGTCTGGACTCTGAAACAATGGCATCGGTACGATTGGGGAATTTGTTCTAAATGCAGGGGTGGGCCCTACCCCAGACCTCCCGAACCCCAAAATTCTGGGGATGAGACCCAGCATCTGTGTTTTAACAAGCCTTCCAGGTGATTCTGGTGCTGCTGGAATTTGAGAACTTTGGAAACCTGCAAAAATGAACCCCAAGAGACAGAATGCCTGGAGGATAAACAAGGTTGGATAAGGGGGGGGGTGGGAGGATTAGGCAGAGAACGTTGCTCACTGGAGGGATGGGTAGAAGGCATACCAGGAAGGGTTTTATATGTTAGGAAAATAATTTTGGATTTTACCCAAGGCATAATGGTGAGCCATTAAAATATACACTGCGAGTACAGAAAACAGCAAATAATGCTAGCGCCCATTAAAAAACATATGCCATCACAAAGACAGTGCTATAAATCATTCCAGAGATAAAACACTGCACAGATAAATAGCCAGTAAGAAAGGAACAAATCAGCCCTACCTTTCTTTCTGGAGTCTTTCTTGGCGCTGGTTTTCACAGCTACTTGAAGTTCTGTCTCAGTTGACATCCTACTAAATCCTTAGTCCACTTCACACAGATCCCGGGCCTCGGCCAGGCTCATGGAGGACTCCTCTTCAAGACAACGACTCCTCCCTTCAGAAACAACGCTCCGAGCTGCACATCTCATTCACTCCTTCCGAGCGCTGCGAATCAAGCCAAGAGAATGTTCAGAATCATCACCCTTGTGAGGTTCAACAGAAATTAGTCGGGGGGTGGCAAAACAGACTGTCAAACATACAAAACCAGGAAAATCTTGGTCTCTGTGTACAAACTGCTCACTCGATGTCACCAAGCCACTGACAGGGTTTGTAGCAAAGGGAATGACAGGTCTACCTGAAACATGGTCTCTCAACCTAGGTACATAACTCGACATAGATCTCTTTAAAACTCTGGATTTCCAAGGACAAAACCCAACTCCTTGTTTTCCACGTGTCTTGCTTTCAAGCAGTAGATGCCATCCAGAAAATACAGCAAAGGAGTATTTCCTGAGCAACCCCATGGAGACATTTCCAACAACAGGGCACCCATCCATCAGCCAAGCTTGATCAGAGCCATGGCAGCTAAAGCAGATGATAGGGAAGTGACCTGTGGTCTCTCCCTCACTGCCAGGCATCAGTGGGGACATGGAGTTGACATACAATTGGGCTCCAAGGGTAAGGCGACAAATGGGGCTGAGAAACTTTCCAGCCAGCCAATTTTTATGTCAGCTTTTTCCTCAGCTATAAGAGCAGACAAGCATTTAATGTGGGGAGCAAAAGAGAAGAAGCAGGCAGCCACTCATTCCATTCTTTCTTTCTTTAATAAATATGCATCGCACATTACTAGGTACTATTAAGTCCAGACTCTGGGCTGGGAAGAGAGGATAATGATAATAATGATAATACAACCACTTCAATTACAGCTAGTATTTACTATGCACTTACTCTATACTTTGCCCTCAGCTACAGATTCACATACATTATCTCATTTGATTTCAGTTAAAATGAATGAATGTATCTCCTGCGTCGAGTCAACCATCTTTCCCAGTGACCATCTATCTGAGAGTTACATCGGAGAGTTCAGTTGAAAATAAACATTTCACTAGTTATCCCATTTTTAAAGAAAATGAAGATAAAGCTGCTGGAAATGGGTCTTTAAACTGCGCAAGCCCATTCTGAGCTCATCCCACAGACCCAAAACGGTTGAATCCAGAAAGGCGGACCCTGAATGCCAGTTTCTGCTCAAAAAGAACAGTAAACCAAACCTCTCAATCATGACAACTAAGGAGGGTTTAACTAGGTCTAATGTAAAAGCCACATAAAACTACAGGAAGGCTTTGTGCATTCTAGATTCATCCATGTTGTTACAAATGGCAAGAGGGTATAATGCTGAATGAACTATGTCAGAGAAAGACTAACACCGTGTGATTTCACTCATATGTGGAATTTAAGAAACAAAACAAAGAAGAAGAGAGGCAAACAAACACACTTCTATATGCAGAGAACAAACCAGGGGTTACCAGAAAGGAGGTGGGGGAGGGGGGCATGGGTGAAACAGGTGAAGGAGGTTAAGAGTACACTTAACTGTGATGAGCCCTGAGAACAGCTGAGTCACTCCACTGTACACTTGAAACTAACAGAACACTGTGTGTTTATACTTAAATAAAAAGACAATAAAATTAGTAAAATTATAGGAAGGCCCGATAATAGGGAAATTCTCACCTTAGCCAAAGATACTTGGTCTATTCATTTGTTAAAAAGCGATTTTTTTTTTTTTTAAATGATGCTGGCCCTGAATGATGTCTCATCGATAGGAACCAAAGCTACAACTAAGGAAAATGCAAAACTGTCTTCCTAGAATGGGGTCCGTGAAATCAAACACAGAAAATGGAAACCTTTCCTGCCACCCTTGTGCCATCTAGCTGCACCACGCCACTAACCCTCACCCCCACTTCCCGACCTCTCCCCTGACAGAAGACGACATCCCACAGGAGATGACAGAGATGACAGAGCCACAAAGCCCTACATAGACATAATTAAATTTTTTTTAATAATATTGATCATCTCATGGCCACAGCCAGCGACAAAGAACCTACGACAAGCCAGGCCCAAATGCGGGCTCATTCACGTCAAGAGACAGCTACCATGCAGCCACCCTAGCTAGGAGTGTGGACTCTTTATTCCTGTCCTCACAGGTGCTCAGTCTAACGGGGATGTCAGGCAGGTAAGGGACTGCAGGACACACAACCAGAACACACACACACGCAGACACCAGGTACACTGGGACACAAAGGAGCAAGGACTCTCCTTTGCTTGGAAGAGTCACTAAAACTTCTCAGAGGTGGGGTGCCTGGGTGGCTCAGTGGGTTAAAGCCTCTGTCTTCAGCTTAGGTCATGATCTCAGGGTCCTGGGATCGAGCCCCGCATCGGGCTCTCTGCTCAACAGGAAGCCTTCTTCCCTTCTTCTCTGCCTGCCTCTCTGCCTACTTGTGATCTCTGTCACATAAATAAATCAAATCTTAAAAAAACGAAAAAATTTTCAGAGGAGGAGCCCAATACTGTGGGGTCTCAAAGAATGATCCTTACGCCAACTGGATAAGAGAGAGGACCAACAGGCACTCAGTAAGTCCATGTATAATAAATGAAGGAACGGTTGTTTCTGGCAGAAGGATCAGCTGTGCAAAGGCATGGAGACTGGCAACGAACAGCCCAACTAATAAAAGGAAATCTAGGGACGCCTGGGTGGCTCAGTTGGTTAAGCAGCTGCCTTCTGCTCAGGTCATGATCCCAGCGTCCTTGGATCGAGTCCCATATCCAGCTCCTTGCTCAGCGGGGAGCCTGCTTCTCCCTCTGCCTCTGCCTGCCATTCTGTCTGCCTGTGCTTGCTCTCTCTCCATCTCTCTCTGACAAATAAATAAAATCTTAAAAAAAAAAAATAGGAAATCTAAGTCTGATAAGGAGGCAATGTACCTCCTCCCGTCTCCAGTTGTAACTTGCACTGCTACCTTTCTCTTCCTTCAATCTTTCTTCTCGAGTCTGCCCTGACATTCTACTGACCCTTCAGGGTTGGGTTCAAAGTATTGTAGGCAGAAAGGTTTTCTGATCTCTCTATTCAACGGGATTTCTCCCTACTTAGGCTACAATCCGCTTTTTGGCCAGCTGCCTAGCTTCAGCCACCGATACGCAGCGTGATATTGAGGAAGTTACTCAACCCCCTCCTTGCCTCAGTGTCTCCATCTCCGTAATGGGAGTAACAGGAAGCCACTGTGGAAATGAAGTGTGACCACACATGTCACATGTCACACGCTTGGAAGAGTACCTGGTACCCCTTCTGGAAAGCGCTTAAAAAGGATGAGGCGCCAATCATTTCCTGTGTTAATAGCTCAAGGTCATGTGGCAGTGCGTGACCTCCGGTCCATACTGTTATTCTCCCTGTACAAAAGAGGAAACTAAGGCAGGTTAAGTCTTCCTTGTAAAGACACTGCAGGAAGAGACAGACTCTAAGATATTTCCATTGTGCTGGTTTTGCACACAGTAGGTACCTAACACAGATAACAGAATGAGCTGAAATATGTATATTTTACCCAATTTCAAGCCTTCTTATAAGTTCCCATATAGGGGCACCTGGGTGGCTCAGTGAGTTAAAGCCTCTGCTTTCAGCTCAGGTCATGATCCCAGGGTCCTGGGATCGAGTCCCACATTGGGCTCTCTGCTGGGCTGCTCAGCAGGTAGCCTGCGTCCTCCTCTCTCTCTGACTACTTGTGATCTCTGTCAAATAAATAAATAAAATCCTTAAAAATAAAAAAGTTCCTACATAAAACTGGATGGGAACTGGGCTGTGTTTTCCCCTTCAACTTCATAAAGCACCATACAGCACCTCTCCCTATCCCGTGGATATCTCCAACACTGCTTGTTCAACAAACTGGGACTGTGTTCAAGTGTTATAAAGCATTGCTTGTGCATTTCTGAAGAACACCCTGATATCAATAATGAAAGGAAACCAACATTATTGCAAATAAAAACTTCAATAAGGAAGCCACAGTAAGGAGAGAAGCTACCACAGCCTGGGTCTTGGCATCCCCTTTAATTTTCCAAAAGCCAGAGGTTGGGAAAAGGCTGTGAAGTAACTCCAAATTATTTAGGAAATTCGTTTCTTTGTAATCAAGGAGATTAAAGTCCCCCAAGGGCCAGGAACCATGTGACAACTGAAATCATTTTTCCCCAGTAAAAGCTGTGAAACCCTATCAGTTAAATTCAGACTCGCCTAGAATTGTGAAATGCTTCAATAATGTTTCTTTGCTCCACACAATCTGCAGTAATTTAATATTCCTGAAGTGTGTCAGGTTTTTTATAATGAGCTCTTCAAATCTAAATGTGAATTATGTAACATTCCACTACAGGCATTCTGTCTAGGGCCCTGCTTCTAAATGTAAAATCCTGTGTTCAGTGAGTTTGGGGGGGAGGGGTTGTGGGGGTAGTTTGTTGGGGGGGAGGCAAAAAAAAACACCAAACAACAAAGCAGAGAAAACACGTAGGCCTTAAAAGTGAAGAAGCAGCAGCAGCATAAAGGTCTGAGCATCCGTAACAGAAGAAACACACACTAAAACCTATTGTAACACAAGCTCGTGCTTTCTCTCCCCCACCCATCCCCCTCATAAGATTCTACTGTACAACAGCCAGCATTGAGGCGGGCCCGCTATTTGGCAGGTATGCTACTATGAACTTCTTTTATTCAATCTTTCAACCACTTGAAAAGTTAGGTCTTACTATCAGTTTTCATTTAACAAATATAGGAAAGCAGAAGCTGGTCGGTAGCTGGTCCACGGTCACACGGCTCTTAAGTAGCACAGCACAGGTCAGGGTACAAACTACTCTTCTCCCCACCTTCCCTCCCCACCAAGCCTTCCAGATGTCCATCAACTGGCCAGTGGAGAAACAAAATGTGGTCTGTCCATGCAAAGGAATACTATTCAGCCATAAAAAGGAATGGGGTATTGCTACATGCTACAATGTGGATGGCCTGTGACAACAGGAGGGCCGAATGAAAGAAGTTAAACCGAAAGGGTCACACAATGTATGATTCCATTTATATGAATGATCCAAAACAGATACCTCCATAGAGAGATGGAAAGCAGATCAGTGGTTTCAAGGTACTAAGGGAAGCA